GTAGTACAGGCTTGTTTCCATTCCTGCTGATCCAGATTCTGTCAGATGTTCACACTATTTCTGCTCCGCTATGTTTCCTGCAGATTTACTGTCTTTATTCACATGTAGCTGCAGAATTTTACAACTTAACCATCTTATCTTATGACAGATATCTGGCCATTTGTTTCCCACTGCAGTACAACTCAGTAATGACAATGAAGAAGGTTGGTGCTCTGGTTGCAGCAGCATGGATAGCTGCATTTCTTGTAGTTTTAATCACAGTATCATTGAGTTGGACTCTGCAGCTTTGTGACAACATCATACACAAAGTTTACTGTGACAACTACTCTATTGTTAAACTGGCTTGCTCTGATATCACATTTAATAATATCTATGGCCTGCTAACTGCTACTGTTTTTGTTTATGTTCCGTTTACTTTAATTTTTTACACATATATGAAAATCTTTAAAGTGTGTTTCTCTGGATCCAAACAGACTCGACAGAAAACTGTCAGTACCTGCACACCTCACCTGGCCTCTCTCATCAACTTCTTATCTGGAGTTTGGTTTGAAGTTTTACAGAGTAGACTTAACATGAACAGTGTTCCTAATATTGTAAGAATTATTTTATCATTGTATTTTCTGACATGTCCACCACTTTTTAACCCTTTAATATATGGCCTGAAGTTGTCAAAAATACATAACTTGTGGAAAAGTTTATTATATATCAGATGGCGATAGAAGTATGTGTGTGTTTATGTGTGTGTGTGTGTGGGGGGACGCTTACAATTTTGACATCAGCGGAATGCTGCCCGTGGATTAGCTCTGGGATTAACTGACAGAGGAAAGGCAGAAAGAGCCACATTTGTTTTGAAATACAAGCTGCTAACCTGAAATGATGACATGGCRAAAGCAGTGATAAAACCATGGTCTAACCTATTTATTTATTTATTTATTTCCATCTTGGGAAAGGCACAACTTGCAAACACTTGTTGGAAAGAGGTGGAAAGGAGACGAAGCTGAGCAGATAACTAGAAGGTTTCAAACAAACTGGCCACCCTTGGTTACACAAGCCCTTATAAACAGCATCACAACAATAAATAAATAAAAAAGTAAAGTCTGAACAGTAAAACCATAACATTTTTTTAAAATCACAACAGATGAAGCCACTGCGGAGTAATTTAACTAAAGTAATTTAACATGACCTTGAGCTAATTTTGAGGTTGTGTACAAAAGAATATGGTTTTAGTAAAAGCTGGATGTTATGAGATGTCAATGGAATTGACGGCATCTCCTCCAGTTTTAAGCAACCTGCACTGATGATGTTTCTGTTCCTCGTTTTTGTTTCATGTGGGGAGGTGAGCTGTAGGTAACAAGGAAAACCCAAAGTGGACTTTTAGTGGTATAAGTATGCTCACATCAATCAAGTGGCAATAATTTTGTGAGTGTGTAGTTTGAATTAGCAGAAAAAAACCCAAATCATGTTTCCACCTCAGCAGAATCACCACCTTAACATGGTGGAAGGGTATGAGTACCCCCGTGATCTGAGGGGCTATCTTGTCTGGGGTATTAGCCCCTGGTAGCAGTGCTGGGCGGTATGACCCAAATTTTATATCACAATATTTTCAACATTTACACCGGTTTCATGGTATTTCAAGGTATTTGTCTTTTCATCACAGGTCAGCTGATAATTAGCCTGGCCCTTGCCTTCCTACGCACCTCCGCCCAATTCTAGTTTCCCTTCTCTGCGCTGTCTGGGATTTCTCCCATTGAGATGGATTTTGCTGCCCGATTTTTAGTCGGGCCAATCATAGAACAGAACGTCAATTTTCTGCACAGTGTCTGCTTGTAGTTTATTTTACATGGGCCAATCAGAGAACAGAAGGAGGAGTTTTGAACTATGTCAATTTTCTGCGCATTGTCTGCTAGTTATTTTAGCACATGGCAGTGGAGGAAGTGAATGAAGCCAGTCTGTGTTGATA